TCGTTAATTGATACTATTGAGTAAATTACTTAATTTTAGAAATGTTTCGTTTAATTTTCTATTTTACATTATTTTACACAATAAAGACTATCAATAGTATTTATATATTAATATTAATAATACATACATATACATATTATCATAGATAATACTGTAATAATATAAGATTTATATTATGTATAATAATATAATATAATATTTATTAAAAATAATTATCCTATTATTGAATGTCACATGTGTATCAATCAGAAATTCATAACTTAATACAATTAATTAATATAATGATAAAGAAATTTTTTATTATAAATATTAGAGAACATATTCTAAATATTAGAAAGAGAGGATATTTGAGTGATATAAAATATGAACAAATGATTTAACATATTAGAAAATGCTTACTAATTTAATAGAAAAACGAGTAATAACATTAATATTATTAATATATGCATCACATATTATTTTTTATTTTTACTAACGTTAATCTTTCTAAGTAAACACTATGAACGGAGATAGATAAATCTCTAAAAATTCCTAATATAAAATTATAGAATAAAAATATCCTCTTTCCAATGATTTAAATAATAACTTGCTTAGCAAATTGCTTGAAAGAACAAACAACGAATATAATATCCTATTCAATATCCACATTAACTGCGAATTTTTATGTATTCATGAGAAACTTAAAGATTCAAAGATATACACAAAGTATATAATCATTAACATTTGGTAGATTAGATTCATAAAAATACAAAAATCCATAAAAATCCGCAATCTAATAATCACAGTTTTACTGTATCAAGTTCTATACACGTATATAATAATTTAAAAAATAAAAATATATATATATAAAATATGTGTGTAATAATTTTGTAAAAACATTGCGTTTCAGCTGTTTCTGGCACTCTTCTGTAGTTACGCGCTAACTGCAGAAACAAACGAAACGAAACAAAATAAACGAGGAATATCAGAATCTGGTGGATGGGTTGGAATACCAAATCCTTATGGATACGGTCATGGACACCCGTGGCTTGGTAGTTCAGGTTGGAAAGGACTCAAGTTTCCTCCCTTTGATTTACCTAATGGAGGGTAATGATATGAAAAATTTGTAATTAATATGCTTAATTCATATTTTTCAGCTGGTATTTTTCAGTTATAAGTAGACTGCGGATTTTTATACATTTATGAAAAATTCAAAGATGCAAATATGCACAGAATGCATGTAATATGTACATATACATAAAACATTTAAAATACAGTCATTTTTATGATGTTTAATAACTTGAAACAAATTTCAATGTTATTTTTATTTCTATAGCATTTATAAAGATTTGAATTTGCATAAACATAGGTGGTCTACGTATAATTAAAAAATAAATTTTTATTTTTATACCAGAGGGTGTAAATAAATATTAAATAATATACATTAAACATTAAACTATAACAAACTAAAATTGTTACAAATATTAAGTATTAAACCACGTAATCAATTTCACAGACCTGACACTTTTAATTGCGTTCTCTTCATTCTGAACTCAATTTTATATATATATATATATATATATATATATATATATATATAT